CGTTCAGAACACATTTGAAGGTAGGGGGACATGACTTTGGGGTTTTAAAAGACAGTGCCCAGTCGGGTGGTGGTGGCGGCACATGCCTTTAGTCCCAGCACTCTGGAGGCAGAGACAGTTGGGTCTCTTGAGTTCAAGGCCAGTCTAGTCTATAAGAGCTAGTCCCAGGACAGGCTCCAAAGCTACCCAAAGAAAACCTGTCTTCAAAAACAAAAACAAAAAGACAGACAGTCAGTATCTTACCAGGTGTGCTGGCCCATGCCTGTAATCCCACAAGGGGATGGAGTGGGGGTTGAAGCCAACTTGAGCTGTGAGACTCTGTGAACACAGGAGAGAAGAGAAGAGGAGGGGAAGGGAGGTGAGAGGAGAGGAGAGGAGAGGAGAGGAGAGAGGAGGGAAGGAGGAGTGAGGCTAATAGTCATAGAAGCTACAATAAATGGGGAGGAAAAGAAAACAATGGCAATGCAGTGGTTTCCAGCTGGGAACTCTTGTGGAAACAGCACACAGCACACCAGTCCTCAGCTCTGCTTACTTGGGCGCAGACATGGGGGCGGGGGCGTGCAGTGAGTTAATGGCCAGAGCTCTGAGAATGGTAAGGTTTGGATCCCAGGGTTACGTTCCGCTTCAGACAGAATGGGTTAAAGATATTTTCACAACACCCACATGCTGAGATGAGTAGGCACCCGGGAAGATGGGTGTGGACCCTTCGCAAAGGTGAACGCTACAGTTACATACGTGGAAATTATTGACGTTTAAGTGATAGTTGAAGCTGCGGACTGGAGTACAATTGCCCAGAATTATACAGAATGTGGAGGAAAAGTGGGCAGAAGCCTGGGAGCCACGGGCAATTAAAGAGCTAGTGGGAGAGGAGAAGCCAGGAACTGGAGAGAGAGAGAGAGAGAGAGAGAGAGAGAGAGAGAGAGAGAGAGAGAGAGAGAGAGAGAGAGAGAGAGAGAGGCAGGAGAAGTGGGTGAAGGGCACATCTCAGAAACCAGGTAAACAAACCAAAAATAAGCATAAGCTTAAACATGTAATCGGTATTTAATAATTGGTTGTCTGGGAGAGGGAGGAGGTGAAGGCGTTTCAGTGGTATGGCGCATTCCTTTCTGAGGCGCCCTTATCTGCCCACAAGTGTACACCCTTTAATACCTGAGTATGGAGCAGCTTAGCAAAGTAACAACAGTGGAGCTCATGCAGTAAACGGTATCTTTGTTGCTAGATGGAACTTGTCTCTCCAGGGATAAGTGAATTCCCTCGAATCTCTGCCTATCAGTAAAATTTACATGCCATTGAGCGTTCACTCTGAGTTTTAAAAATGATTCTGGGGCTGGATGCTTAGAAAGTTGCACTTTGTAAACTGAAAATAATTTTCCTAGGGTAATGCACTAACTTGAGATCTATATTGTTTTTCTTGTTCTGATTTTTTTTTCTTTTTGCATCCTAAATGACAAGGAATATCCGTCTGGTTGTACTCCTCCACAGACATGCCCTGCTCCCCTGGGGATATTGGGAGGCAGGGTGCCTCTAAAGCCACCAATTACAGCATGGGGCAGAGATTGGCAACCTGATAGGGCTCTGTAGGTGTATTTGAAAGGATGGGTGTTGTACTGTCAACCTCTGAAACATTAATCCACATCTCAAAGTATGGATATTCAACACAATGAAGATCAACTTAAAGTTCATAACTAATTCTGGACCAACACTACTTACTCCCTCTTGCTGTTTCTGTGGGTGCTGTAGTGGGCAGATGGGTGCCCTCTGCCATCCCTCCCTAAAGCTGGCCTCTGTAAAAGCCCCTTGGAGAAGATCTTTTCAAAAGAATAAGCAATAGAATGTGGCCTTCAAATTCTCAAAGACTGGTGGGGGGGGGTCTTTGTTTGTTTGTTTTTGTTTTTGTTTTTGATTATTCAGTACCTGGATTTAGTTTATTCTCTCAACAAATATTGACTGGGTTCCTACTATCTGCGAGGCAGTGTGGGGGTGCACTGCATAGAGTATAGGAAGACCCTGTTGTCATGGAGCATTGCCATCCAGGCAGAGGAGACAGGCAATAGCAAACAAGGATATAGTGTGTGTCTGTGATGATAAGTGCTAAGAACAAAGCTAAAGCTGGAACAGTAGCTGAGAGGCTGTCAAGGGGAGGAGGGGACACTTGCTACAATTCTGGATATATTTGTTAGTGATAGATGGTAAACTGAGCCGTAAGTGGAGGAATGGGGTTTAGTCAGAAAACACTTCTTAGCCTAACCACCCACTCCCAACCCACTAGTGAGTGGGATGTGGGAAGCATGCACTTGGTGAATGCAAATGTCAGCCAACCAAGAATCCTGTCACCCTGAAACGCTATGATATATAGCTTAGATAATAGCTGTAAAAAATCAACTCCTCAATTGTAACTGTGCGACAGACAGTCTTTGCAGGTGCAAACAACTTCCATTATTCAAAACTCTAGAATGGCAACTAGTCCTCTGAGATGACTGAAATGACCTGCTGATAGATATTCCCTCCTTTTTTTTTTTTTTTTTTTTTTTTTTGGTCCTTAAAAAAAAAAAAGACTCCTGCTCTCCCGCTGAGACCGTGTGTTATATCCAGTTTCACGTAAAAATGAATTTTTGCTGCTAAGTTTGAAAACTGCCTGAAAACAGCAATTAATATTGGAAAAGCTGACAGAACCTTAAGTCTAGTGGCATGATGGGTGCCGCTGTAATTACGTGCCTGAGTGTGTATATGTCTATGTAAACACAATGTGAAAACACATTTGCTGTCCGCAGCAGTGTACCAGTGTATTCTCTTGCAGGTAGACGGGTTGGGAAGAGTATTCTTATAGCATGGTTGAGTAATGCAGATTTTTCTGATCTTATGTCTGAATTGCCTTGCCTTTCAAATTATTTTTACATTCACTTCATTTGAGCCTCACAGCTTGCTGGAAAAAGAAAAAAAAAAAAAAAAAAGGCCATTGTAGCTCGGTTCTTCCCATTGGATGGATGAGCAAACTCAGCAGGTCAGCAGGGGAAGGGTGCAGGTTCTTGTGTGCAGAATTAGGAGGTCAGAGTACATGTCTCCAACATCCCTTCCAGCTCTTGGTGGGATGGTGTGGTTCTGATTGTCCCGAGATGCTGCATCTGTTTGATGGTAGGGATCCATATTTAAGTCCAGGATTCTTTCTGCCCCATGGTTCCTACTGTTTTTCATTCCCTCCATTGCTGGTTTTCTCACCTGCAAAGTGTCTAACCTACAAGGTAGAGGGATTAAAAAGGATTTGTGAAGCAGCTAGCACAGTGGTAGCTGTATTATCATTATCACTATTGCTAATAAAGAGACAATGGAATAGAGAGAAAGGGGTGTCCATGTTGCAGTCAGGATGATGAGTTTCTAATCAAATCTGGGCGACGCCCCCTTGGCCAGTTATTCAACTTTCTAAGCATCCCTGTAAAACAGACCTGAGGATACTTTTACAGGTTGAAGACTAGAGGAAATGATGTATGTGTAGATGCCAGGCCCATTGTCTAACACATTCCTGTACCAATAAATGTCTGGTAGGTATGAATGATAACTTTCTGTCATAAGAACCTGGAATAAGTTAGTCATGACAACTCATGCCTCCAGCTACAGACCTCAGGAAGTGGAGGCAGGAGGAACACAAATTTGGGGCTAGCCTGGACTACCATAACAAGACCCTGCCTCAAGCAAACAAACAACAACCAAAAAAGGAACTGGACTATGTCTCATAATTCCCTCAGAGCCTGGGGTGGCATTTTGATGAGAGCTGTAAGCTTGTAGGTGTCTATTTTTGTTTAATGGGGAGAAAATAAGATTGGGAAACCTAGTCACTCTGATACATGCCAGGGGAAGGAGGAGCTCGCATGCATCAAGAAGTGCCTTGTCACACTGGCCGTCTGAAATCCAGCAGACATTTTATTCAGGTTCTGCTCACGCCCATGATCGTCTTCAGATTTCGTGGCTGTTTAGAAATTCCTGCCTACCTGCATGGTACCACTTTCATTTGATTGCTATAGAGTTGCTCTATCACAGTGTGGACCTTTCTCAGGGATCCACTGAAGATGGGAACCTACATTTTGGAACCTTGTCCCAGACCAGGAAAGTCACAGAAAAGGCTAGGGACAGGACTGAAGCGTGAGAATGCTCCAGCATGGGTTGTGGCCACTGATCTCTATGGAGAGTAACTTGGCACCTAGTCTTCAGGACATAAAAAAACTAACATGCATAAGCAGGGGTTACAACGTGCTCTAGAGCTGTGTTGGTAGGTATGAAGGAGTCAAAGGCTATGGAGCCACCCCAAGACTCGATATCCATGACTTAAACCACTAGACCTAATGTTGCTGGAGTTTCTTGTTCTGCCAGGTTGCACTGCCCTTCTCAGCCCCAACTGAACACACAAAGACTTATATTAATTATTAAACTGTTGGCCGTTGGGTAGAGCTTCTTATTGGCTAGCTCTGTCTTAATTATTAACCCATTTGTATAAATCTATGTATTTCCACCTGGTCTTGGCTTACCGGAGAATGCCCAGACCTGTTATTCCTTTGGCGGCTACATGGCATCTCTTTGCACCGCCTCTCTGCCTACCTTTCCCAGAATTCTCCTCATCTCCTAGTCCTGCCTATCTTCCTGCCTCTATTGGCCAAATAGTGTTTTACTCATCAACCAATAAGAGAAGCGTATGTATGTACAGAAGGACACTCCCCACCAACCTGATGCAGGTTACATTGTCCAGAACAGCAGCTCCCTATATCACATTTTTCTTATTATATAAGCATTATTTGGAAATAGCATGGCTATTTGAGTGTGAAATACTGTTTTCTTTATCTGCCCTTGAAATAATTCTCCCTGTGAGTGTCCATCCTGCTTAAATGTCTGCAGAACAGCTAAGTTTCTGTACCTGATTAGACATGAATGCTTTGACTTCATGTCTGTTGTGTTTGGTTTCCTTCCAACTTTAAACTATGTGAATTTTCTTTTTTTATATATATATATTCTAGGGGAAAGCAATGGTATTTGCCCCACGCCGAGGGAATACGTTCGACCAGTTTTGCAATCTAGCTGAAAAAGCTGGTTTCTCTCTCCAAAGACATGAAAATTATGATGAACACATTTCAAACTTCCACTCCAAGGTTAGTTTTCTGCTTGTGCTAGATAACACTTTAATCCGCATTGCATTTTGAAGAGATCATGGTCTTTTTGGCAGGTAACCTAAATATTTGATTAAAGTACTTTTTAGGTGTGCTGCTTCTGAACAGCTATTTGTATCTGATTATTTTGTGTGGTAAAGCCATCTTTTATCTTTGCGTGTCTAGGAGGATTTTACAGAAACCATTCCTGTTTACCCCTTTCTCTGAAACAAACTAATCTTTTTCATTCATAATAGACTAATTTGCAAGATGCAAGAGGAGGCAGCTTAGAATGAATGACAAACATGCATTTGTGTTCTAATGAAAAAAAACCCTTCGGCTTTTAAGTAGGTTAAATGCTTAGCCGCACTGAAATAAATAGAAGGTGAGTGTCTAATTGTATCATGTTGGACTGTAAATCTTTATCTCGGCTTGCTTTATGGCTGGGTCAGTTGACAGTTTGAGACTGTTAAATCTCATACAAAATTTCACAGTTGCGAGGTTATATGTCAGAACGAGAGGCGCTACAAGATTTAGGTCAAAAGCACTTATCTGAGAGTGATTTCTAAGCCTGCTTACATAAAGCAATGTTATCAGCCTTTTTATTATTTATGAGCATAGGGCAATATAGGACACCAAGAGGCAGGTATTTCACAGAAAAGTTTCTAGGATTCGCACGTTTGCAGGTGCCTGTCACAGGGACCAGCCAAGCAGGGATTTCTTGTGTCATTTTGTGCCTCATGGACATCTGTCTTTGCTGAGCTCATCTGCCCTCAGTTTGAGACTCTGAGTTGTCATGCTTTCACAAGCTATGACTGCAGAAAAGTGAAATCCTGACCGTAATTTTCTCCCAGGACAATGGGAACAGCATTCTTTATTGCTCAGGATTGTGATACAATGTCAAAATGTGTTGGCCCCTGAAAGTTCATATGCAGAATGGATCTGCTCTTCCAAGTGAAAGACAGAACCCTCATTCTCACTTCCTTGAAATGGGTTGGCTTCTCTGTGTCTCTAGGGCTACATTTAGCCTATGATTGGGGGTGGGGGTGGACGGTGCTTTGAGAACTGAAAGTTAAATGGCATTCTCTCACTGGCGGAATGGGACCCAGGGCTTACAGTAGAAAATAGGAACCCAATGGCAAGTTATTCACATGTCACCTACTTTTCCAGAATGTTGCACCTCCCCACCCTGTTCCCAAAACAAAAGGAAGAGCTCTGAGGGGTTACCTGATGGGGAAAGGGTCTCTCCTGACCTTCAACCAAAGGAATGAGGTGGCCTTCTCTCCCTCCAGGGTCAGGCTGGAACTACAGGGATCAGCTGAGGCTGATTTGATGTCATATTATCTACTTACTTACTACCTCGAACAACAAATGCTTTTAGTTTCTCAGTGACAGCTCAGGAGATACAAGGTGTGGATCTTTCCACCAGCAGAGATGTTTGGCATTGTCCCCCGAGACCCCTTGTCTCCTCTCTGAAACATCTGAAGTACAATGGGACAAGCAAGGCACTCAAGTCCTTGGTGCCACCCTCCTTTGTCTAGAACTTGAATGTCAAGACACAGTGGATGGTAGCCTCTTGCTTTGATTTCCCTACCCTGCTAAGCATAGCACATTCAGAAAACCTCTGAACATGTTTCTAGCATCCATATTGTGTACTGTACCCAGGTAGTACTCTGTAGGTCACCACTGACTGACTAACTGGCCCCAATGCAAATACATCTCTTTAAATAATTAAATGGCCTTAGGTTTGCTTACAAGTCAAATCCCTCCCCTTGCTGACAACCACCTAAGAAATAGTCTTCCTGTGACTATGAGGTGAACCTGCATGAATGATGTTTGCAGGAAATAGAACCCAGGGGACATGACCCAGGGGACATGCTATGCAGTCCTGGGTCAAAGTGTGTGTGTGTGTGTGTGTGTGTGTGTGTGTGTGTGAGAGAGAGAGAGAGAGAGAGAGAGAGCTTAATGAGAGCTATTTCAATTAGTTTGATATCCGCTTCTAGCGCAAGAATGCTCATCCCTTGTGTCCCTTTTTAGCAGAGTCATACACCCCACACAGACACACACACCAGCCGGCCAGGAACCAGGTGGAGGGAGTGAGTAGAGAGCCCAGGAGTTTCAGCCCCAGCCTTGAGGCCAAAGGCAGTGCCCTGTCCCTGCCACCTCCACACATCTCCAGGAAGCTGAGGGCCGGCTAGGCTGCAGGAACCTCCTCCCTGGCATCTTTTGTTGGCTGCCCTGCTAATAGCCAGGGCTTAAAAGTTTTTCATCTTGAGCGGCAATCAGCTTTCTTCCTCTGCGTCTCTGGCCAAAGCCCACCGTCCCTGGGCCGTTCCTGCTCCCCATCGGAGGAGCAGCGCTCCCCTTCGGGCTGCGTGTTATCCTCTTAGCCCTACTGTGTTGGAATAGAGCGTAAGCAGCTGGAGGACTGTAAGACGCCTGATAATGCCGCTCCTTTCCGCTGTCCCGTCTTAATCTTGTTACACAAATGGTTGTGAAGAGATTCATGAATTTTAATTTTGCCCTCTGCGTTAGTGCCTCACGTCACTCATACACAGCTGCCTTCTATGCCGAGTTTTTCACCCCTCCTCTTACAACAGGGGAAAAAATTAGTTACAATCTTGGCAGTAGTGCAAGGTAAAAAAAAAAAAAAATCTACAGATTTAGGCAACCACCCATGAAGCTGATTAACAGTCAGCGATCAGGAGGAACAGCTTTTGCCTCTTAAACTTTTCACCTCTCATTGTTAACTGTGAAATTTTATTTCCGTTAAAAAGCAAGCCTGTAATCAAAACGGTGCCATTCTGCACTCTCTGCCCGTGCTTTTGTTAAACCGTGCCCACACGGTGCAGCCGGCATGCTCAGGACCCAGGCAGCCAAAGGTGTCCCTACGGTTTTACAATAGTGCCTTTCTGTTTGTCCGGGCAACAGGAAGGAAAAAATAAAATAAAATAAAACCCTTCCCTCTCTTCCCCAGTCTCTAACTGATCCCTCCAGGCTGAGACTCAAACACACTACCCCATGGTGTAGTACAAACCTCTGAGACACAAGATTGTTAAAATAGCGAGTGGCTTAGCCAGGGAGAGCCTCTGTTTAGATCCAGCGCTGACTTGAAATTAGCTGATGAACTACTCGAGTATTCTTTCCAAATAGAATTTTACAAGCCACGAGTTTCAGTTTTGTTTTTGGACTTTGGCAAAACCACTGGAGATTTTATTTCCTACATTTATGTGCTTAGCCCAGAAAAAAAAAAAAAAAAAAAAAAAAAAAAAGAAAAGAAAAAAAAAAGGGTGAAAAGAAAATGGGCTTGAGCCTTGAAGTCAATACATTGTGTGAAATGCTCCGCCATATTGCACTTCTGCTTATCTATTCACAAGTGGCTGGTGCTTGTAATCTGTGTGGTGTGCTGTTGATAATTGTGGATACTGTAAAGGGTAAACAGTCTGAACTCCACTCCTGCTGCTGTTTCCCACCGTAGTAAGGCTGAGAGTGTGTTACATCCAACCACGAAGTAAAGCACAATGCGGCTAATAACAGCTCTATAATTTAGTGCAGTCCTCAAAGACCCTGTTTTAACCTATGAAATTGAAAAATTGTTTTATTCACAATTTGCTTTTTGTTCCTTTTTTTTCAAGGTGCTTTCTTACTCCTTAAAATTATAATTATTAATTGAGCAAAGAAGTACTGCCTGGGTAAATGGAATTATTCTTAAGCCCTGTAACACCCACACACACACACACACACACACACACACACACACACACACTCCAAGCCATCATTCCCTAACAGATTTGTGTGTGTTCAAGGGCTCTCCTGTAATAGTTTTACTTGGTTCAGAGATAACTAGGCAGGTGTTACAGTACTGTTTGTGAGGTGGGGGACTCCCCACCCTACCCCCAGTTTCCAGAACGGTTCAGAGGAAGGACCAGGCTAGCCCTTCTGGCAGCCAAACCTCTGCTTTTGCCTCCAGAGGTCAGCACAGAATTCAAGTTAAAAGTGATTCCTAGACCATATTTACAGAAGAACTATTTATTACCTATTACCCCTACCTATTACCTCGGGGACTTTATAAAGAGCTCATTTGAAGCTGTGTATATTAGTGTCTTGTCAGTGAGTGGGTCAGCTGACTGGCTCTGAGTACTCAACTTTCCCTTATCCCCAGTCCCCAAGGAAAGATTTAGCTCTCATGGCCCCCTCTCCTCTCGGTGAGTTGTCTCCATGCGCCCACCGGTTCTGTTGCCAGGGCAATGCCTGGCTAAGGAATGAACAGTGAGTGGACATGGGCAGGGGAGTTGGGGAAGCCAGTTTCAGGAATTCTGATGATGACCACAAAGTGATGCACACTGTTGATACTTTGGTGTTAACAGATTCTTCAAGTTCCATTCCCAGTAGACAACTAGTCATTTGTGAGCTGACATCTAAGAAAGCAAAATGAAGTTACATCAGGACCTACCTTGCCACCTGTTCTTAGTAAAGTAGCTTAGAAAGGAGACAGAACTGGCTTCAAGTCCCATGGGAAAAGGTGGGCTCATGTCCTTAACAGTGAAGACGTGTCACCATTTTGGAATAGGATTTAGAGGAGAGATGCAGATGAACATATCCCTAACAAGCCAACCCAGGGGAATATAATAGTGAAGCCATTTATGGGATACTCTAGGGTAGGTAGTGGTGACTAGTTTGAGGTAATAAATGAATTGCTTTCCAGTATATCTAAAAGAATTTCTGATCTTTGTAAATTAAAAATAAAATAACAATTGGCTCAAAAATACCAACTCATAACCTGTTGTGTTTACAAGTAACAAACTAGCCAGGTGTGGCGGCTCACCTCTTTAATTTCAGTGTTTGAGAGGCAGAGGCAGGTAGATCTCTGAGTTCAAGGCCAGCCTGGTCTACAGAGTGAGTTCCAGGAAAGCCCAGGGCTATGCAGAGAAACCCTGTCTCAAAAACAAACAAACAAACAAACAAAATCAGCCAAACAAACAAAAACAACAACAAAAGAGGAGGAAGAAGAAACAAAATTCTGTTTGTAAGAATAAATGTGACTGTCAGATTTATTCTAGCCAAATGAGGAGATAACCATGTACCCCTCCCCCACATTTCCCAAAATGTGTGGTTAGTTATGAAGATTGGTTGGAATTCAAAATTTCATCACAAAAGGTCCTCAGAAATTCACCTTAGTACCATCTAGCATTGGTGTTCTGCTGGAAGATGTTCCTGGGAGTGAAGTGGTGTCTTGATTTACTCAAAGACCTAGACAGCCTTTGGAAGAAATGTTTGAGGCCCCACTGACCTGTCCTAGTGCCCAGATGTCGCCATGGTCTCCAGTCATCCAGCATTCCTGCCTACCTAGATTGATGTAGCCTTGACTAGGGCAGCAAGAACCAGGCCGAGTTAGAGACATCCCCAATGCTATTCTGGGAAGAGGAAGGTACCCCCAGCTTTCTTTCCCTCAGGCGTGGTGCAGTTTGAGTACTAATGAAAACACCACCCAATCCTCACCTAAAACAAAGCAAAACAAACCCTCAGATTCCTATTTTAATATCATCATGTGCTACTAACAACTCTGTTGAGATTAATTTATTTCTAGTATGATATGTTTGGGTTAAAATCATCTTTATATTAAAGTTAACATTAATTTCAATTCTAAAAATTCCTTACTTGACTCTCCTGACCTTGTATTTCTATTATTTTCAGTTGAAAAAAGAAAACTCGGACATATATGAAGAAAATCTCCATTATCCCCTTCTGCTTACTTTAACCAAAATGGGATAGAAGACAGAGGGCAAAAAAAATCAGATGCACGAGGAATTATTTTCCCAAGAAGAGAAATCTGCCACAGGTCCCCTGAGACTCAGGACCCCACCCACTTTTGCACATTCCACATCTTGGTCCTGGGACCACACACACACACACACACACACACACACACACACACACACACACACACACCACTGCCCTCACAGTTCCCTCACCTTTTCTTATAATCAGCTTGTTGCTCTCTATACCAAACCTTTGTGTGTTTTTATGTGCCTGCAGCCAGTCCAGGATCAGATCTGGACCTGTTAGCAATCGAATTATTTTCATCTCTAAATCAGAATTCTCTCTTTTGATGACCCCCCCTTCTTTTTTAATTGCCTTTGTTCTGTTGAGTAATGGTAGTCTAGATCTATAAATACAGAAACATCTTTTCTGCTTAAATAAATAAATATGTAAACCCCATCTTTCTGATGTCCCAATTAATTGTTTCAATCTATCATCTCTCGCTCTGTCTCCCCCCCTCTCTCTCTGTCTCCTCTCTCTCTCTGTCTCTCTATCTCTCTCTGTCTGTCTGTCTCTCTCTCTCTGTCTCTCTCTCTCTCTCTGTCTGTCTGTCTCTCTCTCTCTGTCTCTCTCTCTCTCTCTCATTTTTTCTTTTCAAACAGGATGTTTTGTTTTGTTTTGTTTTGTTTCCCTATAGAAGTATAAGAAATGACTACATCAGCCCAAAGCCTCATAAACTGACCGCTTGTCCTCTGGACACAATGGCGTGGCCAGCCCCCTGCTCCTCCTCCTACACTGACCGCTCATCCTCTGGACACAATAGCGTGGCCGGCCCTCTGCCCCTCCTCTCCAATTATGTGCGATTAGTCTCAGTACGCCGTGTCAAGGAGGGGGAGCTCGCTGAGTGCTTATTATCTGTTTAGGTACAAGAAGAGCACATTTAGGCTCTGACTATGCATGAAAAGTGAGCCTTTATCCAGGCTTAAATCTTAACTGCTGCTGTTCTCTCTTTCAAAAATAGGTCTCTTCCAGAGAAATTTGGAATAAATGGTGGATAAGCTAGATTGCAACCAGAGGGGGAATTTGAAAAAAAAAAAAAAAACAACAACAAAAAACTAAACTCAATCAGACAATTATTTAAAATAAGTATATATTGTTAGTTTCTGAGACTAGAGTGTATAGTAAACATTTAGTTGGTGCTACCCAAGATGATGTTTTCTTTTCCTGCAAGGACCCCAGCCTGTCCTCCCTGGTGCTCCCATGGAAGTCCCCTAATGCCTTTTGTGGAAATTCAGATGTTTATCTGCAAGGAATCATCTGTGCCCACTTTGGCAGGAATGTCATTAGGTGGGGTTAGCTGTGTATCCTCACATCTTTAGCAGAAGCAAAGTGTGTATTCAACGTGATACAATTAAAGTGATAGGTGGGGGGGGCTGGGGAGGTTCATCTATTTTTGCATGTTAAGCAAACTTAGACATCATAAAAATAGGGACTCTCAAATGTCTTCTCTGCCCACTTCTATCATCAAACAAAAAATCTTACCATCGGTTTGCATGTCCCTGTATTCGCCACTTTTTCTGCTCCATTAAAGCACCTAGATGGATCTCAAAAGGCATAGGTCAAGTCGCAGTTAGATCATACATTTCTTTCTCACAAAAACTTGAATTGCAATGCCAAGTGATGGGCTAACATCACAATAACAGCAATTTATTCCTCTTTGGATAAAACAGCAGTCTATTCTCGGTGCTAGATAAAGACCAGGGCAATGCAAACCAACCATTTAGCTGAGTAGTTCAGCTGGTGGCAGCTCTCCTTCGGTGACTGTATGGGTTGCACACTGGCTTCATATTTTCTTGTTTAAAAAATTAGAATTTGGGATGGTTTTTAAAAAAAGCAACACCAGTCATTCCACTCATACTGACAAAAATTCAGGGGGAATTATTTCCTAGGTAAAACCTGCAACTCAATCTGCCAGACAAAGGGAACCTGTCTCTGGTAGCACCTAAGATAACTGGCAGAAATTCAATTTGCATTTGTGTGCAGCAGATAGACAGATTCAGTGCTCATTTCTTTGGGAGAAGTGTGTGTGTGTGTGTGTGTGTGTGTGTGTGTGTGTGTGTTGGGAATGGGGGA